CGAAAACCGGTTCGCCACTTCCGGTTGTTGGCCTCTTAACAGTTCATGTATTTATAAATGATAACTAAATATTATTATATGACCAATCTGACTGAATAATATGACTGAATATCTTTAATTTTCCGTTAGGAATAGTGCCACTCTTGTTGGACGAAAACCGAGAACTTTTGGCCACTTTTCGACCGGTAGTACCCTAGCCTTTTCTCTCTACAAAAAATATCAATCACCATCGTAACTCGTCTTGTATCTATGCAACACTAAGCCGTAGCATAGCGACGTGCGGTTTTCAAGACAAAAAATGCGCTCTTATTATCATCTGATTGTGTAAGCTTTTGAGACCGGAAAACAGCTAGTATTATGTCGCGATATGTTCCATTCTTCATGCTGTTTTCCCTACTTAGTAGTGGTTGTTTTATATCCAGTATTCAAGTCGAAAAAGTGATTGGATCTTGGTACAATTCAGCCCTCAAAACGAGTAGAAACCCGGATTGAACACTGGACGTGGCAATCCGGTTTTCAATCTGGTTTTCAGTGGGGGAGAGGCGTCCATGCCCACGGTGTATAATTTGAGGGGGACCCTAGGATGCTCCGCGCACTCGCGTTCCCTCGAATTTCTCAGTAAATGCAGAAGCGTGCACTACGTAGTAATTGAGTGATATAATTTGACAATAGTCGGTTTACGTAACTTGAGGAACGATGATCGATGGAGAATAAAGCAGCCACCAGTTGGTCTCTCATTGGGAGCTAATGTAACGAGGGTGACCGTAGCTGACTGTATATAAAGCAAGTGAAGTCGAAAGGTAATTTGAACGTGGCACTCAAGAGAGTCAATCAAATAACAAAGACATCCTTATTACCCTTGTAATTTGGGCCAGGAAGATGCTCTTCTCCGCTCGGGAATTTTATGTAAGTTGCATGGAAGAGTAAGGTACTGTACAGAGATTTTGATATTGATCGTACTAGTCCCTTAGGCTCAACTTAATTTGGACGCCCTGACCTCTTAATCTCTTCGAAGAGAACTGAACTGCAATAAGATGAATATGCTCTTTCCGGGATGTCCCGTTCTTCATTATCACAATACTTGTTCAGGTTCTCTACACGCCTAAATGGACAAATGGAATCCAATCTGTCAGAGATACTCCTTTCTTCTTCCGAATCTTCTGCACCGAGAGATGTAATGCTTCGGCCGCCTTTCTACTATCCGGTCGACCTCCCTCCTTCATTAAATGTCCATAGAATTCGTCCGTCACTTCTGGTGCCAAGTCGTCTTTGATGGACCACATAGTTGCTACAACTCCGCGATATCCTGCTAAGGGCATCCCACCTGCAATATGGACGGCTTCTTCTGAGAGATTTTCGTCACCAGTGGTCGTCTGACAAGCAGAAAGAAATGCAACTTCTGCTTGCGGAAGATTGAGCTTGATGATCTCCTCGATAGTCAGATGACCATCTTCAAGGATCAACGCACTCTTCGTTGGCTCTTCTGGTTTCTGTGTACCATGACACGCCAGATGTAGCCAGTTACACTCTTCCATTCCTTTCATAACTCGTTTTCTCGTGCCTTCTTCACCTTCGAGGACAATGTGTGGTCGATCGGCAAGGCGAAGTCGAATTTTCTCAAGCTCTGTCTTGGTACTGGGAATATGAGTTGTTCCAGGCGCGGACGGTTGTACAACTGATAGTAATTTGAAGGGAATACTAGCTGGGATTTGCGGACTGAGTAAATTGGATAGAGTGGGAGTGTATGAGGATATGACATAGTCGCTGAGCTGCGAATCCTCTAAATCCAAATCATATATACCAGCGGCATGGATAGGAAGGAAAGCAAGTGGCCCGGTGGTACACCACCAGATCCGCGGAAGTGTATCTGGACTCGGCTGACAGGCATCGTGAGTAGATCTATAAGACACATACGAGGTGAGATGCCTACCGCAAATGCCAAAGCATCCAACACTGGTTTAACCAAATCGATCCACAACTCAGCAAGGATTCCCCTACAGTCTTCATCGCTGCTCTCCTCTGCCATCTTTGTTGCGGCTCTTTCCCCTCTCATTCGAACACCATTTGAGTACAAAAGATCCTTGAGCTCGTCTCGTAGCTCAGCCACTCGTTTGGATGTGATGTTTGGCAAAGGGATGTGAATGACTTCATCAACCCCTTCAATGATAGCAAGGCCATCGCATCGTCGCTTAGCTATGTTTAGAATTACGATAGGGCCATGCTGTGCAGCACGCATCAACCGAGGTGCACGTAAAGGTCTTAGAAAGGTTTCAAAGTTAGGGAGTAGTCGGACTTCCTCGATTGCCGACTCCCATTCAGTCGTCAGGGCTCGATATCGACGACCTTCCTCTTCCATAGTTATTTTGTTTCTATCAGAATCACTGGAAAATTGGGTTCCACGATCTAATGATAGAGAGAGGCGCAGAATTCGATCAGCGAGGCCGGGGTGTACATCACGTAGTTGGTCGACAGGTGTTCGAAGCTGAAGGATTTGAGTCCACACTATTGATCGACCTTGTTCCAACCATTCCAGAGCTTTGTCATACTCTTCGTACGAGATAGCCGCGGCCACCGCATCGCGGGTGATTCCACCCATTTCGACAAGATGTTGATGTCGATCTGCGATAGGGAGACCTAGCCAAGCCACAAGCGGCATAAGACTAAGCGCACGTTCATAAGCTATTAGTACGGAATCATCCTCGATGAGAGCTGCAAAAGAGATCCAACTCCTTGCCGCCGCGAAGCGAGTGGTGGCAGGTCCGAATTGAGACTTTGCTGCAGCAGAGAATGAGGTCAAGGCAGATTTGGCATCACGATTATCATGATAGTGATGAAACCTAGTTATTAAAGAATTTCCAAGGCTGATTAAATGGCCAGGCCTGTCCGGATGTCCCTCTGGAACAAGATCAGCGGCTGCCTTCAGTTTTGTGACGGAATCATCGATGTCCACGATGTTTCTGAGGCGTTCAAAGCGCTCTCTAAGAGAATTCCCCAGGTTCATCAAATACCCAGACTTGCTGAAATGCCCGTCTGGTGTGAGATTAACCGTCTCCTCTTGTCGAGCAATTGCTTGATTAAGATCAGTAATATCCCCAAGTTGTTCGAAGCGGGATGAGAGAGATACTCCCAGATTGTTCAAGATGCTGAATTTCTCGGAATGACCATCGGGCGTGAGATCCAGCGCAGTCTGCAGTCGTGATATTGCATGATCCAGGTCGGTAATTTGATCGAGGTCTTGGAAGCG